ACCCATTCATTGTTGGAATGACAGACTGCTTATCCTATCCAGGAGGGTCCTGCATACATTTCTGGGGAGCAAGGGTGGGGCATCTATGGGTGTTGTCCTGTATGTAATTCCTGGATGGCTGGGAATATAACCTGTAAAGTAGCTTCCAGCTGAATACATGAATGCTGAGTGAGCAGAGTTTGGAAGGGTTTGCTGCTCATCAGCAAAGCTGTGTAAAAAACCTCCCAGGCTGCAGAGCTAAGGGGACACAGCAGTCCAGGTTGCACCCCATGAAATGTCTCAAGAATACAATAGACTTTCCTAAAGATAAAACAAGTTTTGAAAGGTTAATATAGACATGAAATTATGTTAAACAGTGTGCATTTTAATAATGCCCTATGAAGTAATCTACATCCACTTTCAAAAAAGTTAACAGTTCATTTAATTACAGCACAGTAATTCCTAATTCTCAAAGCTTATTTTTATGGGACAATGATAAATTAAAAGCACAGATGAATTATTTTACAGGTTAATACTCCTGACTCTAAATTCAATCAATATTTTCAATGGTTCTAATAAAGAACCTACCATAACCATTACATCTAATTGCCAAGCAATTAAAATTGTTCTCTTAGCACACTGTTTTAATTTAACATCTCCCAAATAGCACAAAATTTGACTTCTGCTGAGAGAGATGCTCATAATACTACATTTTCCTCCAGTGCCCACATAAAAGGCATTAAAAGGGAGACTGGAGGCTCACAAAAATTGATTATAGTGATACCGGGATATGACAAGTATATGCACTTGTCCAGAAAATAAATAGGTACCTAAAGATAGGCTTCATAGCCTTAGGTGCTTAAGTCAGGTAGGGATCTACTAGGTGCTCGGTACTTTTGAATGCTAGTTTTTTCATTTAGGTAACACACATGGGCCTATGAAGCTAGCTTTTTTTCAGATCTTGGTCTTGATCTATGTACTTGAGTGGGGTTGTTTTTAAACTGTTGGGGGCTGTGCATAAACTACTGTCATCCTAAACTGCCATGTTAACACTAATTGAGAGTTGCATTAGGACGTGTTTCAGATTCACAGAGACCTAATGTACACTACTAAGGAAGGTCGATGTAAGTTGTTTGGCATCAACCATGTGAACTCCCTGTTAAGGCAATGCAGGTAAACAACATCTCCCCTTCTCCCATCAAAATACAGTGGTAGATGGCATGCAAGTGTGCACATGGCGTGACCTATGCCGACCCTGACAGTCCTCCAGCAGCAGTCCCACAATGCTCAACACTGCCAATTGTGAACTCCACTGCCCAGGGGTCACTGAGACTGAAAGCTGCCACTCCCTATACTCCACCTTGAAAAATGTCATGTACTTTAAAAATACTTGTCCTGATTTCCCTACTTATACCTCTCCCTTGTTGAGTGCAACTGCCCTGTTGACTGTATTAGCTACATACTTTCTGCCTGGAGTAGACAAGAAGCATTGGCTCTTCTAGACTAGTGGGGAGAAGACGCTGTGCAGGCATAGCTATGGACCAGCCATAGAAACGTGGACATCTACATCCTAGACCCCACACTCCCTCCTCCAGCAATGGAGGTTTGTTTAGCACTGCAAAGCTCAGAGCTAAGATGAAGGTAAAGGAGTCAGGATTCTTTTGTGGAAAAATTCCCGACTAGCTAAACCTAATCTATTCTAAACCTTCAGCAGAAGTAGTTATGAATGAATGTAAAAGGCACATATTATTGTTTTCCCTGGGATTCCTGACTCAAAAAGGCGTAGGTGGATTTTAATACTAGGAACAAAAGCTACTCTGGAACTCTAACACTGTAAGGGTAAGTCTACACTGCATCCCTAGTTCGGACTAGGGATGCAAATGGAGGTGACCGAAGTAACTAATGAAGCAGGGATTTAAATCCCCCGCGCTTCATTAACATGATCTCACCGGCGCACTAGTTCGAATCACAGCTGATTCGAACCAGGAAGTGCGCGCTGGGACGCGTTAGTTCGGACTAAAGCCCTTAGTCCGAACTAACGTTACTCCTGTGATTTGAACTAGCGCGCCGGTGACATCATGTTAATGAAGTGCAGGATATTTAAATCCCTGCTTCATTAGTTACTTCGGTCACCTCCATTTGCATCCCTAGTCCGAACTAGGGATGCAGTGTAGACGTACCCTAAGAAATTAAATGATTAGGAACTGAATTTTGGGGTGGTTCTAAAATGCGCTATGAAAACAAAATAGCCAAGTATATTTTCAAGAAACTATGTAAATGAAATTGATGAATTGTGAACACTTGGCTGCTTGTTTAAATTGGATAACATTGGAAAAGCTGTTATAGTATGTTCAGATTGTTACAATATTATTATAAACCATACTTGTTCATTTGAACAGTGACAATACCACAGACAAAGCATGAAGCTTGCAAAATATTTAAAGCTTTCTCTGGTACAGTACATGATACTATCGGAAGCAGCAGTTCTTTTAATGGAGTTAATTATATCAGGCCATCTCTTAAGGGGAAAGCACCATACTTTGAATTGTGGGGGTACTTAGTGATTCATTTAACTGGAAGTTAAATGAAGCAAAATTTCAAACAGTAAAGAAAGAAACCAACTAATGTTCCTAACTGAATGTCAATTGATGAAAATTTCTATATATCAGCTAAACATTATTATTGTCTGGATTAGCTAGATTTGAACATGAAGACCTCTCTCTCCGTCCTTACACACAGTTTATCCCATCAGGCACCTCACAGATAGGTGCATTCCTGTTTCCCAATGCTTGCCCTTCTGACATTTCCATCACAAACAGCTACTGGGGTTCTAGGTCTTCCTACATACCTCTGCACCCAGGGGAATGAGCACAGATGTTAGATGGCAGGAAGTTGGGCAGTGTCCTGTTCTGTGAGAGCACATAGAAATAGTATGGGGCAGAGGGAGGAATCAATCAGTCAGTAACAACCCCAGGGCTTAGGGAAAACTTTCCCTTTCCTTTGTGGTGTATTGGTCCCTAGAAAAATCCATCTCTTTATAAAATGGGATCTCTTCCCAAATGTCAAAGACGATTTTACCATGACAGAATTTGTGCCCCTTTATACTTTCTAAATATGCACCAGATAGACTGGAAATTCTCAAATACCAGTGAATACACAGAGATACAGATCATCTATACCTGAAGCCCAGGAGCATTTGTGCATATGCTCAGAAGAAAGGGAGATGGAAGAAGCATGGTTATTGACAGTAGGCAGCTCTTACCCATCCATCCATTTAACCTATTTTTATGCTGGTGTAAAATGTGTCTAGTTGGAGCCTAGAATCAAGGACATGTAAATTACAGAGTGACAGCAGTTGGTTGTGCCACTTAGTAACTTGCACATGGAGTAGGAACATGGATGACCAGTGACCAGGCTCATTGGGAGAGGGTAGGCCCCAGTCTCTTCCCTTCTGCGGGTAGGAGAGGGTAGGCCCCAGTCTCTTCCCTTCTGCCCTGGGCCCCTCCCCTTCTCTTCTGCCCTCTCTTCCCTGCAGGAGCCCAGAGCACCCCCAACGCTGGACTACCAGTTGGCACAGTCACAGCACCCCCAGACCCAGTCACATGGCCACAGCCCCAGAATGCTGGGTGGCCAGGCCAAGTGGTGCTGTCCAAGTGCTGGGTGGGCAGTGTGGCCCCAGCTTCAGCTGCCCTGAGTTCCCATGGCAGACCACCCAGTCCCAGCCAGCCTGGACCAAAACAGAGTGCTGGGAACTGCAAGAGAGGGTCTGGGGTTGGAGCATTGGCAGGCTTTTTGGGAAGGCACTGCCTTCCCCTGCCTACAATACCCAACCCCCATGAATAGAAACAGTGCAACTGAGGTCTGACCGTAAGCAAACAACATTTCCCCCACAGTAAGAAGCATATGCTCCACAGCCCATTGCAGTGCCTAGGTTAGGAGGCTAGGAGAAGAGACAAGCCAGACAGTCCAACACAAAAAGGTTCCAAAAGTATCTAAGGTGCGTCTGCATCATTCCAGTATCACAAAGAGAAACAATAAAGTACTTTAGTCATATGCCACCAAAAAGAATCTTGAAGTTTTTGTTTGTTTTGAAATACCAAAATTAAACAAAAATACCAACTAGTTTCAGATCCTACAAGCCTATAGCCTGGTAGTTAGGATGTTCACCTGGAAGAGGGGAGATGTGAGTTCCAGTCCCTCTTCCAAAGTGGAGATTCAAACCTGGGCCTCCTGCATCTGGACAAATAGCTTAACCATTGGCTAATGTTATAAATGGACCAAATTACACACATACTGCTAAAGCTAGTAAGGGGACATATACAGTTTTCTGGCCCTGAAAAATGTTTTCCAGCTGAAGCTATCATTTGAAATTTGCAAATCTGTCAACTCAAAACTGCATTTTTTGGCAAATAAACTATTTTTCCAAAAAGTTTTGTCCTGCCCAAGTTTCAAGTCACCATACTTTTCCAAGAAGATTCTTGCCTGTACAAGGCTCAGAAGTGCCACTGAGAGTAAAGGTGGAAACTATTTTTCAAATATATTTATAGGGTTCCATCCTTCACTAGATTTTAATGCACTGTACCTTTTGGTCTTTGAGTGCTAAATCTTGACAGAATAAATTTCTTGAAAACAATTACATTTGTTAAGTTAAATAAGAACAAGCGACAAGTGAGGGATATTTATGTTTTGGGGTTCTGCAGATGGACTTCTCTATAATTTTTAAACCACCAGTATAGGAAAGATTATAATAAATCATGAAGGCTAAAGGAAGATATTAGACCTGCTGTCCCACGCATAATCTAAATCTTTATTAAACTGACACACAAAAAACATTCTGACCTAATTCTTTGGGTTAGTCCTTAACTATGTAAGTATTTCCTCCCTAATAAAAGCTATTCAAGGAAAAAACTGAGTTGCCAAACATCAGATAGAGCAACAACTAGAATTTAAGTAATAACAGCATACAGAAATAACCAGGCCAACTCCACCACTTTGTCTATGACTTCATCCAGCATTCTTACCTGGCACTCCATCTTTCAGCCAGTAACCAGTGTCTGTTTCACTACCATTTTCGTAAATGTCTGTAACATTGATAGGCTGCAGCAGCTGCATGACCTCTTTCAGGATGGCATGAGCTTTACAACTGCCTGTAAAGCCCAGGCCCGTTGGCATGAAGGTCCCCACATCAGACTCCATGACGATGTCAAAGTTGGAGATGTTCCCCTGAACACATTAGAAAATATGTTAATATTTATTTGCAAAGTTCTTGTAAGAATCTAATATTTGTCATTAGCTACATGTTACTACATATTACTAAGAGTATACAGTATCAAAAAAAAAAAGGTAATGCAGGCCAGAAGATATATATGAACTATATAAAACAGAAAGCCTCATTTTGGAGGAAGCTTCTGACCGGGTGGGGCTGATTAATCACCCGTGAAGCTGGGCTGCCACGCAGCATAAAGGGGTCACTGTTCTTAACTAGGGATGTTAATGTCTAGTCAACTATCCGATAAGCAAATACTCATCAGATAGTCAGTCCACTAGTCGATTTCCCCCTACTTGCTGCCTCTATCAGCAAGTGCCAGCGCTGCACAGCTGAGCCCAGGATCAGCTGTGTGGCGCTGCTGCACATGGAGCCTAGGGTCATTTGGAGACTCACCAGCTGATCCCGGGCTCCAGCGCGGCATTGCCATGGATCCCGGGGTCAACTGGGGAGTACCCAGTTGACCCCGGGTTCTGGGGAAATGCCATGTGGAATCTGCGGTCAACTGGGAAGTTCCCAGCTGATCCCGAGTTCTGCTGAAATTCCGTGCGGAGCCCAGGTTCAGCTGGGGTCTCCCCAGATGACCCCAGCTCCATGTGGCATTTCAAATTGGCAGCACAGCATGGAGCCTGTGGTTAGTGGGGGACTCAGCCTCACTGGGGACTCTGGTACATTTCAAAGCAGGCAGGTCATGTGCAGCCAGGAGTCAGCGGGACTTCATGCTGGCCCTGGGCCACATGCAGAGTTCCGCATTCCTCCTTTGAAACGTTCCACGAGGCGTACAGTTAGTTCGGATAGGAAGCCTAATCCGAACTAGCTAGTCCATGCCGCGTGTAGCCGCGCGGCACGGGGTCCGACCTAGCCGGCATTTAAAAATGGCGCCGTCCGGCTTTATGCAAATGAAGCCCGGGAAATTCAAATCCTGGGCTTCATTTGCAACTCCGTATGACTACATTACCCCCCCTAGTTCGAACTAGGGGGGTAGTGTAGACATACCCTTACTGAGCAGTGCTTCCCAGCAATAACAGATCCATGCAGAACTGACCCACAAGTAATTATGAAAATGAGCTCACACAAATATTACCACCAACGAACATTGAGAAGCTGTTACCCCGACACCCAGATTTTTTGAAGCTCAGCAACAGAACGTGCTGTGCATGCTCAATGTGCTATTTTTTACGCCTATAACTTGGTTCTTTTGAGAGCAAATTATTTCAGACATGGCAAAGATGAGAGTTCCTAATTCAGGCATAGGCTTGTGTACACAGGCAGTCTCGCGCTCACCCCCGTGCCTGTCTTTGAGGCCTGCGGGGCCACTCCCTCGCCTTTGTCACCTCCTCGGTTTGATGGCAATTGGCGGCCACAACTCTGGACTCCGTAGCCTCCCTGGTCCGGGAACACAGGGTAGCAGGGCCCGGGCCCACCCTCTCTCATGGGCCCCAGCCCAGGGCCCTAAGGACAGGTTTTCCATGCCCTGTCCGGCTGGTGGGGGGATGGCCTGCAACTCACCAGCCCACCGGCCATCCCTAAAGGCCCTGCCCTGGGCTACTTCCTACCCCGCTGGTTCCAGCGGTGTCTCCACACTCCCCTTGGTACCATTTCTCCTCTTGCTCTCTTCCCCCCTCTCCCCCGGCCTTTATCCTCCACCCTTCCCCTGACCTACTGACCTCACCCACCGACCTCAACTGGGGGCGGGGCATCCTCTCACTTCGAGCATGCTCCAGCGCTCAGCCAATGCTCCGTGTTCACCCCACTCCCACCCGTCAGCTGTGCTGCCGCTGCCGAGCAGCGTGCACAGAATGTCGGCGCTTCCCGGCTGGCCCCGAGGAGCGCGAGCGCTACCGCGGGGTCAGTGCAGGGCGGATCGGCTTCCGCCGGGGCAGAGGCAATCCGCCCCGTCACAGCTTGCTAAAAGTTTTAACAGAAAACTCTTTGAGATAGATCAACACAAGGAAGTGTCTGAAAAGCAATTCAACAAATAAAAAACTAAGTCACCTCCTCAAATTAATCAACAAATGAAGATATTTTTGAAAATAATTAACCTCTTGGCTAGTTGAAAAGCCTAAAAAGTTTCAATCTAGAAAGGTAAAAAGGTCACAAGTAACTGGGAAAACAGAATTAAAATGGAAGTGTCCTCTCAGTCCTATTTCCAATGCAATTGTGTAAGTCGTGGGTTCTCACACTGGGCTCATGACAACCCTTTCATTCCTATGCTGAGATGAGAAGAGGCACCAGAAAGTGCACTCTGTTGTAACATGTTAGCAGTACTGAAAAGGTTGAAAACCAGAGCTACAGTTGATAGCATGTGTAAGAAGCTAGGCTTTAGCGCTCAGGACCTGTTAGTTGATCAGTGATAAGAGATTGTTCAGCACAGCAGTAAAACATTTCAATCCAGATGGCCAAGGTGTCACAGTTCAGGATAATTGCACCTATATTCACCCCATCCCACCCCACATGACCTGCTCCAGGGGCGCCCAATGAGGTCTTAGGCCTTACAGAATCAGCTGTCACTGGTCCCACTCCCTTTTGACCAGAGTTATAAGGCTGCACCTCCCCCTGTGGTACACAGTGACATCCTCAGCAGCTCTCACACATCTCCAACCTCCTGCTCACTATCTTCATGTCAGGAACAGTGACAAGATTTTACCAGTGACTGCTCAGCTCTTAGAAATCAAAGCATGTTTAGTTCTAAGGCAAACTTGTCTCAGAAAAAAGCATTAAAGTTATATTTAAATGCTCACTAAACATACCAGGACTCTCCCATCTTCTCGTGGGAAGTCTGTCTGGCCAAAGTCTTTCCAATCCTTGTGCAAGGGTGGGAGCCACACTGCAAGCAAAAGTTCTGTTTGCTGAACCAGGGAAGGCCCCAAGTCTGTTTAAACACTGCCTGTCTTACTAAAAGTCTTTCTTTGTCCCCAGACGCCTAAAAAGTGTTCAAACCAGTCCCTCCCACCCTTCCCACAAAGTGAAGCTTCAAAAGGCTGAGAATCTACATAGCCTGCCTAGAGAATCTCCCTTAATCACTCCTTAGTGATCCCAGATTCTGTTGGAACCTCCACCCCACCCCTGTGATACAAGGTACCACAGCTCTCTATTTCCACCCACAGTGATCCAGGAACACATAAATACTGTTGTGTTGATCCAAAGGGCTGTGAATACTAGCAGCTCATATTGTCTGGCCCATCTCAGTATAATGGCTTGATGAGGCTTTCATGCTTTCTGGGTAAAAACAACATAATCCCCAAAGATACTGCATGTGGCTGCAATATCTGTCACACAAGAGTTGCCATTAAAAAGTGAATATTTGCTACAATTCCCACATTTCTCTCCTGTATTAGGTGTCAAAGAAGAAAATCTAGGTGTCATTAATACCCTCAATCTGGCAAATGCTAACATTTCAATGCTGACCTGGTTGCCAGGTGTCCGGTTTTCTACTGGACAGTCCAGTATTTGTGCTCTCTGTACGGTAGAAAAATTCAGAAAACACCGCTCATGTGCAATGTCTGGTATTTTCTGAATTTCCAGCTGGGCGCCGGATGGAAGCCTGGCAGGGGTGGCGGAACGACTGGGAGGCGGGGCCGCAATTGGCACTGGGAGCCCTGTGGTCACGCGCAA